GAAGTAATGATTCATTACTGGGAGAGAGAATGCATGTAAAACTGACATCTGTACACAGCAGATGCTTTCCAGATCAAGTGATCTTTAACAGACATCTCCCAGACATACGTGTGCTATCTGGGATGCCTAGCGCTCCTCTCTATTACAAAGTGACAAAATCGACACTCGCTCCATCCGATTCATGAATGAATCATTCTTTTGAGCCGACTACTTTTTAATGAACTCTTGAATTGAACGCGTATTGGACTGATTCGATTGCAGGTGTCGAGTCAACGTACTGATTTAATGATTCAGTTGGAAGTAATGATTCATTACTGGGAGTAATGTGATTCAGTGCTTGAATGAGGTGCGACCGACGGCACGAAAAGTCTTTGCTAACCCCAAATGTGATTGTTAATTTGTAGGCTAAAGCTGTATGTGAAACAAATCTGCTGGAAAAGGAAGCAATGTGGATGAGATCAAATTAAAATAACCCAAATCAATGCAGAAAATCAAGGTTTAACAACAAATACAAGCATAAAACCATGGTTATTGTATTGTGGCAACCACAATTTGCTACACTAACCATAGTTTAACCATGGTACTTGTAGTAATGTTATACAAATGGTAAGCGATCTGCCAAATACGGCCACGACTATAATAAAACCATTAATTTTCGTAAGGGCTGAATAGCTGATACCATAATTTGAACAAACTTTTAATTTGTAGGATAATTCGTCGTATGTGAAAGATATCTCAAATCATGGATCTTATTTAGAGGTCTATTACTGTTCTAAGTATTGGACTTCTTTACCTTGAGGATAATAAATTTGATGTAGCTACAGCAGGCGAAAAGTCCCATATACTTGCACTGAAGGAAGAACTCGGGCCATAGAGAGATCAGAATATGACTTGATGGCCTCCTTTATCTTTGGCTAGTAAACAACCACTTAAACTACTTAGAAACTACTAGCAACCACCAAAACACCCAAGTAGAGGTGATTTTATTCACTCAAGTACCACTTTTTCTCAGAAAGATTTTATTTCATGTAGTAAGTTCCTGAAAAACATTCCCAAGGCCACTGTGGGAGAACATTAAGGCCCAATCCCAATTCTACCCTTTAGCCCTTCCCCTTTACCCTACCCCTCCGTTTTGCGCGTTCACGTGAAGGGGTAGGGTGTCTCGATTCTCTTTTGGTCGGAGGGTAGGGGTAAGGGGAAGGGCCAGATAGCCCTTCAAACAAAGATTTTTCGGGACCACACTTCAAACGAAGGGGTATGAATTATCTCAGCGTAAACCGGCTTCAGGGGCAACATGGCTGCCCGAGCAAACAAAAAGACACATAAATGTAAGCATTTTTTGGCATTAATAAAGATTTTAACGAAAAGTAATAATTTGTTTTATGTTACTTTCAATCGTGAGTTCATATTTACGGTAATGTTACTCAAAGAAATATTTGCAAAAAATCGCTAAAGTTTGCTAACGTCTTTACAGGCATTTACAGAAATGTATGTTACGTGATCAACAGAAAAGAGGACCGCAACAAAAATTTGCAGCGAAGGCACCGTGGGGTTTGGTCTTGAACTGTAATTGACCGTGTTGTTGGAGGCCTTAAAGCAGCGAGATCTGTAGCTCTCAGTAAGTGATTGTGGCAGAGAGAGAGGCTGTGTGGTGGTACTACACTCATGCCAGCACACATCAAACAGACACTTTGCCCTGCAGCTCAGCTTGATACCAGAAGATAAATCCAAGCTTATCCTTCTGTCTGCACACAGAACGTGATCGGTCATCTCTCATCATCCAGAAAGACTCCTAACCGCTGTGGGTGGTTGTGTGAAAGCCTTCCCTCAACCCCATAATCCAACCCCTGACGATATATAAAGAATTTCCCCTCAGGGTTCAATAATGCCTTTCTGTTTGCTTATTTTTCTATCAATGTGAATGATGTTTCATTCTTTTTTTTATTTCGCCTTTGTATGAGAAGAATGCACAAACGAATATTGATTTGAGTTGTAGTGCCTGAAACAATATTGACATGTCGGTGAAATTAAATCCTGTCATAGCTAAATATTTTATTAAGATATACTTTCTTGGACGCACTTTTAGGCTGCCATTCAAACCGTATCAGATTCTTCCAGCCGAGGGAGCTGTCTCAATCTGTGAGTAGATTGTCAAGATATTTTTTGTTATTTAATCACTTTTATAACTGTGCAGCAGTGATTTTAGTGGACGTTCTCCTCGGTTTCAGACAGGTGTCCTGACAGAGTAACCACAGGTGTAGTTCATTACATTGACTATGATCCACTGATGTTTGAAAACACAATAAATCACCTGTAACACTTCAAATATAAACCCAAACAAACATAACCTCAAAAACAGCACAAATTCAAAGGAATGAACTTACAAAGTCAGACAAACCCGAACTCTACAGAAATCTCTCATGTTGCAGAGAAGGAAAGGGAACGTATGCTTCCACTGTATGCTGCCCCCTTCTAGCTATGACCAGCAAATTCAGCTCAGAACTTCAAACTCCTCTGACTTGGGCTGCTATATCTTTTCTAACTGAATCATGCTAGAAACATGCTAGCAATGTGTTAAATCAATCTAGCTGCATGTTAAAACATGCTAGCAATGTACTGAACATACTAGAAATATGCTAGCAATGTACTGAACATACTAGAAATATGCTAGCAATGTACAAAACATGCTAGTAACATTTTATAGACTTCATCTGACTACTCCTAGTAATGCCTTCAAAGCTTTTCAAAGTTATTTAAAACTTTCAGACCCGGCTTTGTCAAGCCAACATCAAAGTTTGTCATCAAACTTCACTCATCTAGTTCTAACTAGTTGTAGTTGTAACTATATGTGACCCTGGAGCACAAAACCAGTCATAAGTAACACGGGTATGTTTGAAGCAATAGCCAACGATACATTGTATGGGTCAAAATTATCAATTTTTCTTTTACTCTCCAGCCACTTGGTCATTCCACTTATTCTCTCCACCCCTGATTTCTGCTCTTGACCCCGAGTGTTAATGCTTGCGTTATCAAGAGCAGATTACAGGTCTGACAGAAAAATGAAGCGTCACAAGGAATTCAGAAAGAAACTCTCTTGAGGTTTTCTTGGAGTATCAACACACAGCAGCAGTCATATGTTTGTCGCTTAATAAATACATTGATGAATGTCGGTCAAGTCACAAAGTTAGGTCAGGAAAAAGAATCGCAACACTACTAATGTAACTTGTCTCTCATACACCTTATTTGATAGCTGCAGTAACAACTTGCTTATGTCAGTGTTGTTTTCAATTTTTCTACAGTTATATTCATTGAATATTTCATATTTCATGCATTTTGTGTGTGAGAACCACTGAGCTAAATGTTGTAAGGATCCTGTGGTCTTTGTCTTTAGACCACATGGCTTTGGTTTTGATGTTGGGCTGGTTTTCAGCTTATGGTCTCGGACAAGACCACCACCTCCTTTCAGCATACACTCTTAAAAATAAAGGTGCTTCACGATGATCTTTTTGTCTAAATGGTTCCATAAAGAACCTTTAACATCTGAAGAACCTTTCTGTTTCACAAAAGGTTCTTTGTGGAGAAAGAAGGTTCTTCAGATTATAAAAAGCTAAGAAACAGATGGCTCTTTAAAGAACCTTTGACTGAATGCTTCTTTGTGGAACCAAAAATGGTTCTTCTATGGCATCGCTGTAGAGAACCTTTCAAGCACCTTTATTTTTAAGAGTGTATCTTCAAACTGAGCCTGCAAGGGGTAGATAGATAGATTTAAGTTCGAGTTAAGACCACTCCAAAACTACTTAGAGATCCCGATTTCCGATTTGCTTGAGAAAAACTTGCAAGTTGTAAGAATCATGTAAGGCGTGTTACACTAGAGGGCGGCATTAGAGCGTCATTCTCTCATTATTATTTCTAAACTGCCAACAGCAAGATGTTTTCCAGTCTACAAGCGGTAATGCACAAGGTCATGTACAATAATGTACTGTATGATGAAAACCATTATATAATCCAGCAAGTCAGATTATGTCTCTCTCTGTGTGTGTGTGTGGGGGGGGCGTTCTGTTGCTTTAAGAATTACACAAAACTAATCTACCTGTTTTTCTAATTGGTATCAGGATTATTTTAAAATGTTTGCTATCTCAAGTTGCAATTTTACGTTTCAAATTATGTGCTGATATCAATACTATTCAAAACTTGTGGGTCAGTAATTTTTTCAAAATAAATTAATACTTTTTAATGAATATGTATGTA